ATATATATATATATATATATATAGTATTTACTGTGTACTGTTATAATATTTATTAAATTATTCATATGTTTTGAGCTAGCTTTTATTTTTATATTTTCAGTTTAATTATAGTTCAAGTTTTAGTAATTTTGTGCTTGTCATTTTTATTTTTATAATTGTTTTTATTTTTTTTTCTATTTAGCTTTCATTTATTTTTAATAGTTTTAGTTGGCACTAACAATACTGGTGTGAGGCCCCAAACTGACGCTCTAACACCTGATCAAGCCCTAAAGTACTGGAGCTGTTTAGACCTGCTAACAGGAAGTGATGTCTTCCTTAATCAATGTCTTGTTTTAATACACAGCTCGACATGACATGGCACTTTCCCTCTCTTTTCTCTCGCTTCATTTGTATGAGATGTTAACTTGATTATTTATATTCCTAATGGAAGGGAATCACGGGAGAGTCATTCAGACGGCCTGCTTTAGCTCTGCGCGGCTGATGTCTGACCAGCTCAGCTCTTTTGTGCCTCTTTTGTCGTCACAAGACTCTGTTTTCACTTCTGTATCGATTAGCATGACTGGCTGTTTCTGGCGTGCCCTTCCTGGGGCCGCATGCGTGTCACCGCTGGCTTCTGATTGGCTGAGACTGAGCTGGATTTTAGATTAATCAGACTGAAAGCTGTGATTACCCACCTATCCCTGACATTTTTTCTCTCATCTTTCCTAACACACACACACTGCGTTAAAGACTGCAGTCAGACGTTATTAGTGTCCGTCCGCAGAGAGTCAATTGAATTACAGAAGCTCTTCACATACAGTAAAGTGCACTAAAGACACAGGAAGCTGTGTGTGTGATGTGTATTTTAGCACATCTCCATAACAAGCATGCCTGGTGTTTTGTTTCTCCATGTCATAGATGAGTTCCTGAGATAATTCAAGCGCAGATCAGATCTGTCGTCATTCCAAACAGCTCCAGCACTCGGCTTTGTGGGGCTAAAACAGTGTCAAAAATGAATGTATTTACAAAATATGATTTGCAAATGCATAACCTAATTTACATCCACAAAATACATTTCATAAAAGCAAAACACAATGAATGCACAAGTATGATTGCAAGTTTGTGAATCATATTTTATATGTAAATTTTGAGACTATTTTAGCTCCATATTGTTCGAAAACCTAGTGAGCTGCCTACTCTTGTGAAAAAATTAGTTACATTTGCCCTTGTGGTGTACTTTAAAACTTTAAAGGATATTTCTAAAACAATGTATTTGCAGATAGCATAATATTAATCAAACTATTTTATTAAGGCACTTAAGTGTACTTAAAAAGAGACTCTTTCATGACTGCTTCTTAACACGGTTAAGTAGAGTTTTAAAAGGCTCACTTTGTAATAATGTCAAATTAAACGTTTTCATTTAAAGTGCATTTTTAAACCATTGTTTTAATATTTTGCCATGCTTTAAAGTATGCTTATATTGATACGTGATACATTATGAAAATAGTAATTATAAAAATTAACAAAAATTAAAAACATTCTGCTTAGCTTAGCAACATACTAATGCCAAATGCCCAAAATAAATTCTGAGTTGAGATCATATTAAGGTCAATAAAATGTATCAGTTAGACAGGCTGATAGATTCAGAAAATATTTCTAATATTTCTTAACATTTAGACAGAATATTTATATTGTCCCATGTGAAACATCTGAATCAATATTCCGTTGATTTTGAAATGTTTGCGTTTTCAGCTTCAAATATTGAATCGCTCTCTGCATCTGTTTCTCTCTTCCAGTTAAATTATTTGAAGTCATTGAAACAGAGAAGACACTTTATTTAATAATGGAGTATGCAAGTGGAGGTGAGTTTGATGGACAGGTGAGATTCATATTTAATATCACTATCAGCGCACGTCATGACACACATCTCTGAATGTCTCTGTTCATGTCAGGTGAAGTGTTTGACTACTTAGTCGCTCATGGGAGGATGAAGGAAAAGGAAGCCAGAGCAAAGTTTCGGCAGGTGAGCCGCGCTCAAACTCTACACACATCTGAAGCAGAGTCATTGAAAGTCTGCGGAGATTTAAATCAACTATATAAAAATAGAGCAAAGTCATTCGACCCTTCAAATAGTGATTGTATTAGGTAACTGTCAAACTGAGAGAAGAATCCAGTGTGATATTTACAACAGATATTGACAGTGGATGGGGCTAGTTTTTTAGATAGATATTTGCTTCTCTCCCACAATGCATTTCAATGCAAACAACGATCAAACAATCATTATAAAATAATTAAATCACGACGTATGTTTATAAAATAACAGAATATTAAAGCAATAAGCCCTGTGAAGCCGTGATTTACAGTTAATTTATAACAGCTAAAGGGCGTTGTTAGGCACGACGCAAAGCACGAAGCGAAGCTAAAACCCCCTTAGCTGTTATAAATTCACTGTAAACCATGGCTTCACGGGGCTTATTGCTTTTATAAAACGGTTATTCCATATACGTAGTACGGTTTCACAGAATAAAACAGAGATGATATAAATAAAAACAGTCTTCTTCCACCAAACAATGTAGTTCCTCAGAATCAGTTGTGGTTGCAACAAAGTGGTTGCCACTAGTCACTATTAGAATAGGTATTAATATGTAATTAATAAGTGGTATCTTATCAATAGTTACCAGTAAAATTGGAAAGGGATATTAGTTCATATCAAAATAGTTACTAGGAACTGAAAATATGCAATTACAAAAAAGTGCTAGTAATTTAAAAATAGTTACTTGTAAGGAAATATTTAAGATACGTTCAATATTATTTTGTAAACTATATAAAATTCAATTAGTCATGAAAATCACAATTTTAATTTAGTTTTTAATGCACACTTTTTGGCAGCTGAGAGTACAATGGAAGTACTTTTTAACACATCTCTGATTCATTGAAACAGATATTTTTAAATAATTCATTAAACAATTTGAGTTTAATTCAGTGTTTCATTGAGTAAAATATTCGGCAAAGTCCCTGCCTATTCATTTACATACTCTATGATGTTTTAGTACAGATATACGTGGGTAAATACTGACATTTACTCATATGTGCTGGTTTACATACAGTGAATTAGATTAATTACATCTATTGCAGTATTTATTACATCTTCATTCTGCTTGACAATGGTTTGGTTGAAAAGATGATTCCTCCAACTGAAATGGAAAAAAAAACATCTATATAAAACAACATGTTTGCAGTAACTGATTTTGCAATTGACATTAAATGACACCTCTTTATGAAAGAAAGAAAGATTTATAATAGTCATGTCATGATCAGTAAATACGCTGGGGGCATCTTCTTGTCTTCTCACCTTGAATGAATGTTGACTCATTTGAATAGGGTTTAGTATCGAGCACATGCACACCCTCTAGTGGTGATGTGTCACTATGATCAGCTGTTCGTGTGATAACTGTAAATCAACAGACACTAGTCTGAGTTCATCTTCAGTGTGAGGGGAATTAAACCCCCTGCTGCAGTCGCTGCAGCACAGTTCACTGCAGGAGGTGGTTAGTGAGAATATAAGAACCACAGTGACATAAACACATGCTAAATGACAACATGTCCTGACTTTCTCGGCTTCTATTCTCAGTTAAACAAAAGAACTGGTTTGTGGAATGATGTAATTATGTGGCTTTGTGTGTGACTACAGATCGTGTCTGCGGTGCAGTACTGCCATCAGAAGAGAATAGTCCACAGGGATCTCAAGGTGAGACACACGCACCCTTTAAGATCTGCTCACCTTTAGTGATTTGTGTTTCATTGAGTTCTATGCAGACCGCTTTGCTACATTTCTTTGTGCGTCTCTCTCTGTAAAGGCTGAAAACCTGCTGCTAGACGCGGACATGAATATAAAGATAGCGGACTTTGGCTTCAGTAACGAGTTCACCATCGGGAGTAAGCTGGACACGTTCTGTGGCAGTCCTCCGTACGCGGCTCCCGAGCTCTTCCAGGGGAAGAAGTACGACGGGCCAGAGGTGGACGTCTGGAGTCTGGGGGTCATCCTCTACACGCTTGTCAGCGGCTCACTTCCCTTTGACGGACAGAATTTGAAGGTCATTTCTAGTTATATTCAGAATCACTTAAGGCCTATTCACATGCAATACAATTAAGTGAAACGATGCAAATCACTGATAAAAATCTTTAATTGTTTTATGTTTTATACACACTCTTTTTTTGATTTGAATAAAGTTACATACTACCGTTCAAAAGAATGGGGTCAGTAAGATTGTTATTTGAAAGAAATTAAGACTCTTATAAAACAAATATGCATTAAATTGATCAAAAGTGGCATTTTACATTGTTACAAATAGGGTTGCAAAAAGGTGGAAAATTTCCAGTAAATTTCAGAAATTTTGGAAACTTTCCAGGATTTTTTTGGAATATTCCAGGGATTTTTGGAAAGTTTCTGGACAGTTTCCACCCCTTTGCAACCCTAGTTACAAACAACTACATATAATTAATAGTTGTTAACAAATAATTGTTACCTAATTGATGTATTGTTTTGCTTGTGAAGAGGTAATAGTGATACACTGTTTGCTTTAAAAAAAAAACACTGCTCCATCGTTAAGCTTATGTTTTATATAGTTTACCTAAATGAGAATACAGTAAGTTTCCCTACAAGCATATTGCTCTGGCTGTATGTGCTGTGTTTGCTCCTCACTCTGAATGTTGGTCCACAGGAGCTGCGAGAGAGAGTTTTGCGAGGGAAGTATCGTATACCGTTCTACATGTCCACAGACTGTGAAAACCTTCTGAAGAAGCTGTTGGTGCTTAATCCAGGCAAACGTGGAAGTCTAGAGGTGAGACGGCTCTGCACACTTCACACACCCATCTGGGTTTATACTTTTCTGTGAAACACAAAATGAGATGTCTAATGCTGTTTTCCATACAACGAAAGCATACTGTGAACAGGGCAACTGCAAACGCAGAAAAGGACAAAAGCACCATTAAAAGTTTCCATAGTAGTCCATAAAAGTAGTCCATAAGACCTGAACGCTTTATTCCAAGTCTTTTGAAGTCAAGTGAAATCAAATCTTAATCATACATTTGTTAACAATAAACCTGGCATGTCACGAGTAGTAGAAACCTGTTCAGAAATGACCTGAAGTTCAGTCAGGACACTCTAGATAGTGCAAGCTGATAGGTACTCAATATGTGACCCTGGAGCACAAAAGCAGTGTTAAGTCGCTGGGGTATATTTGTAGCAATAGCCAACAATACATTGTATGGGTCAAAATTATCGATTTTTCTTTTATGCCAAAAATCATTAGGATATTAAGTAAAGATCATGTTTCATGAAGATATTTTGTAAATTTCCTACAGTAAATATATCAAAACTTAATTTTTGATTAGTAATATGCATGGCTAAGAACTTCATTTGGACAACTTTAAAGATGATTTTCTCAATATTTAGATTTTTTTGCACCCTCAGATTCCAGATTTATTCAGCTTTCAGATGATGTATAAATCTCAATTTCGAGAAATTGACTCTTAAGACTGGTTTTGTGCTCCAGGGTCACATGTTATTCCTCTAGCAATCGCAGTGTAAACCAAATGGTGCAAGCAGATTCACCTCTGTTGCATCTGCAGTAGGGCTGTGCGATTAATCGAAATCGTCATAAAATGCACGATTTGAGCGTGCGCGATTTCTAAATCGCTTTATAGCACGATTTTCCGCGCCCCCGACCTCCTGCAGTATGCTATCCGAACCAATCAGAATGCAGCGCGCCTAAATGGAGCGCAAGAACAGTTATTAACGATCAAAACATCAGTCGTAATTACTAATGCTTCATCCACTTCATACAGTATATTCTGTGCAGTGCTGTTTTGCCATCATTGAGATACTATTATATTTCATTAATATTTTGAATTAATTTTTACTTTTATAAACGTTTTTGTAATTTTGTTGTGTTTTTATTCAATTTTAGTAGTTTTTTTTTTTTTTAAATGTATGTATTCTTTCTATTCGTTTTTATTTCTGTTTCATTTGGTTTATTTTATTTTATTGCATCAAGTTGAAGTACGTTAAAAAGAGAAATCGTGCCCTTGTAACTAGCTGAAATGAAGAAGTTTTAGTTAACTATAATAACCCTGATCTGGTTTTGTTCGCTCGTTTTAGTTTGAAGGAAGCGATTCGCTGTCCACCACAAACCTGTGTCAAAGGTCACGACCCAGCAGCGACCTGAACAACAGCTCTACATAGTCACCAGCACACTCTAAAGTCCAGCGCAGTACCCTGAAACGTCTCCCGTTCTCAGTCGTTCTGCGACTAAATAAATGAACTTCTTCTCAAGAGAAAAAGTGACAGAAGCAGCAGTTGTGAGTGGGGTGGCCAACCCTAGCCCCGCCCCTGCGTTAATTGCGTTAAATATTTTTTATGTGTTAAACTGACATAATTAATCCCCTCGTTAGGGTTAGGGTAACGTGCTAATTTTGACACCACTAAAAAAATTATATAATAAATATTTATTATACATTTTCTTAGTTTTAGGAAGTCTAGGTCTGGGGTAAAAGGTATAACAATAAATAAATAAATAAAGTAGAAAAAATAAATTAAGGCACAGTAAAAAGTTTCCAAGATAATTTTAATGTGACCATTTTAATGTAAAGACATTTAAACCTGTCCATTTAAAGGGATAGTCAGGGTTGCCAGGTTTTCACAACAAAACCCACCCAGTTGCTACTGAGGTGGGGTGGGAGGTAAAATACATGTAAAATACACGTTCCCCTTTTAAAATTTGCATTCCAAGTGCTAAATATCACGTTATTGGGGTCGCTTCAGATCACGGATATGAAAAACAACCCGCGGCAACAGTGTTAAAGTAGCCTGATTCCGATGAAAAACCGCAGACCTGGCAACACTGGGGAGAGTTCATCTACAAATAAAAATTCTCATGTTGTTCCAAACCTGTATGACTTTATTTCTTCTGTGGAATGTAAAAAGATGATATTTTGAAGTATGTTGGTAACCAAAGAGTTTCAAATCCCATTGGCTTCCATAGCATTTTTTCCCCCAATCCTACGGAAGTCAATGGAACCCAGAACTGTTTGGTTACCAACATTCTTCAAAACAACTTTCAACTGTTCCACAGAAGACAGAAAGTCATACGGGTTTGAAAGTCATTGAAGATGAGTAAATGACAGAATTTTGGGTGATCCATCTCTTTTAAATAAAAATCAAGCTCTATAAACGTTCCAATGTTTTAAAAAGAACCCAAATCTGTTGATCTAATTTATTTGATTTTGAGCTGACATATTTCCATGTTGTTCTGAACATGAGTCTGATTCTGTGCAGTGGCTCCGTCCATACCTCCGGCCGTCTCTCACACCAAACGCTCTCAGGCCAGCAGCGTGGAGGGAGAGAAGAAGAAGGAGGAGAGTAAGCTGCCCTCCTCCAGCTCTAAAGGAGACATGGCCGCCTCTCCTCTGGCGGCCCAGGAACGCAGGAAGTCCTCCACAGCTTCAGGGGTGAGAGGTCACACGAGCCGCTACATCACGTGCCATGTGATACGAATACATGCGACTAACACTAGCTCACATTCTCCGTCTATAATGATGTGTGCTTGTGTGAGCAGAATAGCGCTGCTGGAGGAATGACGAGGAGGAATACGTACGTGTGTGAGAGATCCAGTACAGACCGGTACTCAGCCGTACCCAACGGCAAAGACAGCAGGTGAGCAGACTCCGAGCGCACGGCTTCACCGCAGCGTTTCTCAAACTGTGCATGGATAGATATAGACCTTCACATAAAACCACTGACATCAGCTCTCCGTGTCCATTCCTGATAAGATGTGAAAGCCATAACGGAAACCAACATGAAAAACAATTGCTAACAAAATGAGAATGTGTGTTTAATATATATATTCATTGCATCTAAATTCTTCTTCTTATTATTTGTTCTGATATTGTGTATCAAAATACTAGCTTTTAATAACAACATAACAGCTTTTTATAACAATATAATATAGCAATAATTTGTATTACTCCAATTTTGTTCTCTGATTCGGCTTCTTCAGGGAATATTTTTGTTGGTTGAGCAAAAACAAAAACACAATATTTGGACATATTGTATGTGAAATGTCAGTTAAACAATATTAACTTTTGCTTATAGAATTGTTTGTAAAAACAATAGGTTCACATTGTGTGTGTGTGTGTGTGTGTGTATATGTATATTATACAATACAATAAATATATACTATTTTAAATATATCTATGAATACAATTTTATCTTAACACGTTTATAAGGCCATCCAGAATATGTGATTTTTTATTTTTTTTGGCGTATATGTGGTTCCTACATGTTTAAATATAATTTAAAAATAAATACATACATTTAGTATAAGCATGAAAGTCACTGATGGATCATGATTTGTTCGTGAAAATATGCATATGCAGATTTCATGCACAAGTTTGTGTGCAGGCATATCACACTTGCAGTAGCATGCTGAGGATCACAATCTTTCTTGTGAGATACTGCTTAATTAGAATTATTTTTTGTACCAGGGTAATTATAATGAACTACAACCAAAACCATAAAAATATATTTTTGTTACTTGAAATAAAATAGACTTAAAAAATAAATAAATAAATAAAAATAAAAAAACAAGGCAACATTTCTTATTTTCTTTTACTTTAACTAGATGTACTAAAATAACTAAAACTAATAAATAACTAATAAAAATATGTAGATCTATTAAAAAAGTAAGACAATTTAAAAAACACAACAAAATTACTAAAACATGAACTAAAATGAAAATGAAAACTAAAACTAAAAAATAATAGTATAGTAAAATAACTCTTTTTTTTTGCCATGTGATTATGTACTCTCAGCAAAGTTTTACATATTTCACCATGTTTGAAATAATTCTGCAGATTTCCCCCCAAAATCAGTGCAGAAAATGCCTGGTCTCTGGTTTTATTATGCATTAAAACATGCTAAATTTCTTGCAATCTGTGTTTGCATTGTTCTTGATGTGAAAGGGGCATGAATAATTGATTCACATATGATGTCAAGACTGATGTTTGCTCTGTGTCTTCCTCTTCTCTGTCTCAGTCTGACGGAGATGTCGGCCTCGGCGAGTGCATCTTCCTCAGTGTCTCCAGGAGCGTCCACTCGGCCGCGGCATGTGAAGTCCATGTCCGCCTCAGGCCACCCCAGCAAGTCTCCGCTGCCGCCCATCGAGGACGACGCTGAATTCAAGGGGTGAGCCGACATGCTCTTCAGTATTTCATTGAGCTATCATTGAGATACTACTATAGTGTTTGCTAGTTTTTTTAATTTGTTTCTATATTTTCTTATATTTTAGTTTTTATAATATGTGACCCTGGAGCACAAAAGCAGTCTTAAGTCGCTGGGGTATATTTGTAGCAATAGCCAAGCAATACATTGTATGGGTCAAAATTATTGATTTCTCTTTTATGCCAAAAATCATTAGGATATTAAGTAAAGATCATGTTCCATGAAGATATTTTGTAAATTTCCTACGTTTTCTTAAAAATTTTTGCTATTAGTCATTTTTGTCATTTCTACTATTTTTTTTAATGTCTACATAGTTTTTTTTTATTAATTTGTATTTGTATTTAGTTTATTTTAATACAAAACCAAAAATATATATACCGTATTGTCCCGAATATAAGACGATATTTTTTTCTTGGAAATACATCTGGGTACATTTTACCAGTTTTTACCATACTTTCAAAACAAAAATTAAAATAGGAAAAATATGCAATATGAAAATAATTGAAGACAAAATGTGTTTTACTGAGAAAAAACAAGATTTGGTTTTTAAAAAGCCTTTTTCCAAAAGGTACATCTGGAAAAAGGGGGGGTCGTCTTATAATCAGGGTCGTCTTATATTCGGGCCAATACGGTATATATGTTTTGTTTATGTATAGAGATTCAACTGGTTTTATAGTTAAATAATTTGCAAAGAATTAACAGTTTTGTTTCTGAGTCTGGTTCCTTGAGAGATGTCATGAAATCACTGTGAATCACCGTCTGTGTGTCAGCAGCTCTGGCTCCAGGGCTCCGTCCACGTCTCCGTCGGCTCACAGCATCAGCAGCATGACTCCGGATCGGACCCGCTTTCCTCGGGGCACCTCCAGCCGGAGCACCTTCCACGGGGCGCAGCTCAGAGACCGCCGCAGCGCCACATACAACGGCCCTCCCGCATCGCCCTCGCTGTCCCACGACACGGGCACTCTCGCCCAGGCCCGCAGGGGAACCTCGTCCGGATTCATCAGCAAGCTCACCTCCAAGCTTGTGCGCAGGTCAGTCTCCAGATCCGTCACTGACCGTCTCCTGAGGTTTGTGTGGAAGTCAGGTCAGGATTCAGCAGAACTGTAAAAAACTCAGATCAGCTCAGTAATGAGGAGTTGCACTACTAGTCAAAGGTTTTGAATAATCACGATTTTTTTTATGTTTTTGAAAGAAATTGTCTCTGCTCACCAAGACTTCATTTATTTGATTAAAAATGCAGCAAAAATATAGTAATATTGTGAAATATAAATCAATTTAAAAGAACTGTTTCTATTTTAATATATTTTAAAATGTCATTTATTTTACATACATTTTCAGAAGCCATTATTCCAGTCTTCAGAAATATGTTGATTTGGTGCTCAATTATTGATAATAGTTCTTATCATTATAAATGTTGAAATCTTTTGTAACAAACATTATAAATGTCTGTACAGTCACTTTAAATCAATTTAATGCATCTTTGCTGCACACATTTTTGATAATAATAATAAATGTTTCTCGAACAGCAAATCAGCATATTAGAATGATTTCTGAAGATCATGTGACACTGAAGACTGGAGTAATGATGCTGAAAATACAGCTGCACATCACAGAAATAAATTACAGTTTAACAGATATTCACATAGAAAACAGTTATTTTATATTTTACAATATTACTGTTTTTACTGTGCTTTTGATCAAATAAATGCAGCCTTGATGAGCAGAAGAGGCTTCTTTAAAAAACATTAAAAATCTTACTGACTCCCAGACTTTGTGTATCAGTTTGTTGTTCTTATAGTGCTTTTTAGAATTCAAATGTAAGTTTCTCATGTAAGTTAGAAGTATTTAATACTTTAAATGACTTCACCTTGAGGAGCCCTTGGAATTTAGCTGTGGGCCCCTAGTGGATCCGGCCCCTGATTGAGTACCACTGCTTTACACTCTTTACAAACCATTAGCACAGGAAATCTCCCTTTAACTGTTAAAGCCCTACACTGCGCTGTGTGTGTATGGAAGAGAGCGAGCCAGGTGGCCTGACACTCACACACACACACACACACACTCACGCTCAGTGCTGCGCATGCATCGACTCGGAGTGAGCTGCAGTGAGTGAAGGACACAGTGTAAAGTGAGCTGATCGGGCATGTGTCAACATCTCTCTCAGACCTGCCCCCTACTGCCTGTTTGCAGTTTGATTTGGTGACGCTAGTGCTGCAGGAATTACACTCTTAAAGGAACAGTTCACACAAAAATGAAAATCTGCTGATGATTTACTCACCCTCAGGCCATCCAAGATTAGGATGAGTTTCTTCATCAGGTTTGTAGAAATGTAGCATTGCATCAGTGTCTCAGCAATGGATGCTCTGCAGTGAATGGGTGCTGTCAGAATGAGAGTCCAAACAGCTGATGAAAACATCACAATAATCCACAAGTAATCCACACCACAGCAGTTAACATCTGGAGAAATGAAAGTCTTTGTGTTTGTAATAAACAAATTCATCAAGGCGTTTTTAACCGTTGGGAAACCGTTGCTTCCAGCTAAAATGCGAGTCCATAATCTTGCTTCCTCCAGTGAAAAAGTGGTCTGGTCTGAATCAGGAGAGAAATCTGCACAGATCAAGCACCGTTTACGAGCCAAAACAGCTCTAAACAAAAATGTGGGGGTGATTTAAAAATTTTTTTTTTTTTACAACAGCAGATGGACTTTTTCACTGGAGGAAGCGTTATTATGCATTATGGACTTTCTTACAAACATGCAGCTTTTGTCTTCTCCAGACATTAACTGCTGGACTGGAGTGGTGTGGATTACTTGTGGATTATTGTGATGTGTTTATCAGCTGTTTGGACTCTCATTCTGACGGCACCCATTCACTGCAGAGCATCCATTGCTGAGACACTGATGCAGTGCTACATTTCTCCAAATCTGATGAAGAAACAAACTCATCTACATCTTGGATGGCCTGAGAGTAAATTTATATATTTGAGTGAACTAGTCCTTTAAGTTTTTAATAAATGTATAGTGATATTATAGATAAATGAGTCTTCTATAATACGTGTGTGGTCATTTTCACTTAAGTTTATTTATTCTTCAGATTTCATGGCTGACCCACAGGTCTCGGGTCCGCGCTTTTGTGTTGTAGAACTCTGTCTTTCAGAACGGCGAGGTAGGGAGCAATAGTTTGACATATTTCATATCAGACTTGCATATGGAAATGTGTCCTCACACACCCTTCTCCTCAGAACTAGACTCCTGTCGACCCGTGTGTTTCTTACTAATGACACCTCTGTGAATGTTTGCACGGCCTGCAGACTGATGATGACACTTCCCCCACCTCAGACTTTACCCGTGGAGACTGCTGGTGTTTAGCTGTAGTCTGGTTGGATCTGTTGAATGCTGTTGGTCTGTAGTGGTCCTGTACCCGTTCCCCTCTCTCCAAATCTCTGTGCTCAGAAGGAAGTTTCTCAGTTTCCACTCTCCACCACCAATCAGTTTCCACTCTCCACCACCAATCAAAATCACAATAAGGCAGCAAAAAGGACTTCTGTTATGCAGTAAGAATTAAAGTAAAGAAACAAGAGGCCATTCATCACAGTGATTTCACCAAAGCTAAGAGAAGTCCACAGGCACACATGAAGCAGTGGTAAAATCCCTGTAACACACTGCTAATGGTTTTTTGTTTTTATTAAAAAACAGCAACATGATGAAAACATCAGCAGCAGTATGTATTCTGTTCACATCAAGGACGATAACTGTAAGCATAAAGTTTTAATAATAGTCCTAATTCTAGGAGAATAGCGACGTCCACGCCACAGTTATATAATAACAACAGAGGCGCAGTGCTGTTGGAATCACTTTCAGAGTAATTTTTTTCATGTGATTTTTTTTTCACAAGCCAGTTTTTTCGCAAACCCCGCCTTCAGCTGATTCTAAAGATTTCATTGGTCATGTTAATCACAGCGTTGATTGCCTACATAACGATGAAACAAATACTAACCCCAAAATTAACCATAACCATAAAGTTTTAATAATCATCGTAAAAGAATAGCAATGTCCACACTAACGATATTGATGGAATCTCTTTCAGAAGGTTTTTTTTTTTCATGTGATTTCAAACCAGTTCAGCCTAAAGTTTTCATCGGTTATCACTGAAATGCTGAAACTAATGTTAACCACTAACTCTAACCTAAACCAGTTTTCATAATTGTTGTAAGAGAATAGTGATGTCAATGGAATCATTTTTAGAGCAATTTTTAATAAAGCAATAAGCCCCAAGAAGCCGTGGTTTACAGTGAATTTATAACAGCTAAGGGGCGTTGTTAGGCACAACGCGAAGCGGAAGCATGAAGCATGCCAAACAACACCCCTTAGCTGTTATAAATTCACTATAAACCACGGCTTCATGGGGCTTATTGCTTCGCATCGTGCCTAACAACGCCCCTTAGCTGTTATAAATTCATTTTTATTTTTTTTCGCGAGCCAGTTCAGCGCAAACCCTGCCGCTTTGGTTCTAAAGGGTTCATTGGGAATTTATGTTTAATTTACAGTGCCGATCAGATCAATCTTGCGTGATTGGGTTGACCAATGAGATCAGCTGTGGGCGGGGTTTACGCTGAACTGGTTTGGGGAAAAAATGGTGCATTTGTTTAAGCTGACAAACGATAAAAACTTTAACATCCAATCGAAATCCGACGGACCTAAAGGCTCTCAAGCACTTAAAAGCGGCAGAAAACACAACTGCAGCAAGCTTAAGCAAAATCTTATCATCTGTTGGTGTGGATGCTAATATAGTTCTTATAGTTATTGCTCTTGGTGTGAACGGCCCTCAGCATTAGGCCGTTTACAGTTGCCTAGGAACTGTTGTCTGTTGTACTAATCTATGGTTTTAGAGTTTAGTCGTCCACTGTTTTCTCAATATGACCTCTGATATTTCCCAAGGGTACCCAGTGAAGGAGAGGCCCACGGTCGGCCGTACAGTTTGAGGTGAGGTTTTCAAAGATCCTCTGTCTTATGTGGTATTTGTTATTGCCTCCTCCGGTCAGTCGACAAGAGTCTGTGTAGATTGAAATGGTTCAGATGACCAGTGTACAGTATTTGACTATACGTGTGTGTGTGTGACGTTTCTGATTGTTCGGTGTATTTTGCATGTTTTCTAATCATTGAGAGCTGTCTTCTATCTTCCTGATGCAGGTTTTACCATTCTAAACTACCTTGCTCATTTCTCAGTCCCTTTATAGTAGGGAGGCACTGATACCGAAAATCTTAATACCTCAAATAAGCAAAAATGGACGTTCAACATCAGCCAGCAGATGTCTAATAGAAACCAATTCCACTATATATACAAAATATAATGTGTGTCTAATTTACGGTTTTGTTTTAGCTTTATTGGCCACAGATTTTTTTTCCACGCACCTTATTGGTTTTGTAAAGTTGCTCCAGAAAAAAGGCCCATTCACACCAAGAACGATAAATATACAGATAACTATAACAATATATTAGCGTCCACACCAACGGACAATAACATTCTGTTTATTATAAGTGCGTGATGCAGTTATGTTGTCTGGTGATATAAATGCTCAAGCGCTTTAAATTCGAGCAGATTCTGATTGGCTGTCAATGTTTTTATTGTTCAGTAGCCGAAAAAATCGCTCTTGAAAGTGTTTCCGCCGATATTGTTCCTTTGTGTCGTTATCGTTATATCTGTGATGTGGACTTTGCTATTATCAGATAATTATAACGATTATTAAAACTTTATAGGTATTGTGCTGGGTGTAAGTGGCCCTTAAAAGTCTGTTCGCACTAATAACGTTAATCATAACGATAGCTACATTAGTGTACAAACCAACGTGCAATTAAAATTGTTTAAGTGCGCACTGCAGTTTTGTCGTCTGCCGCTTTAAAAGCTCAAGCGCTTTAAAGTTGGATGGAATCTGATTGGCTGTCACTGTTTTTTTCGTTCATCAGTTGGAAAAAACGTTCTGAAAGTAATTCCAACGATATTGTTCCTTTGTGTCGTTTTCGTTATTGCTGTAGTGTGGATGTCGCTATTCTCATAGAATTAGAGTGATTATTAAAACTTTGTATTTATAATTATTGTATTTGATGTGAACGGCAATTAAAGTTATTTTCACGCCGATAATGATAACCATAATGATAACTATATTAGCGTACAAACCAACGTTTGATAAAATAGTTTATTATAAGTGCGCACTGCAGTTTTGTCGTCTGCCGCTTTAAAAGCTCAAGCTCTTTAAAGTTGGATGGAATCTGATTGGCCGTCAATGTTTTTATTATTCATTAGTTGGAAAAATCGTTCTGAAAGTGAATCCATAGATATCGCTCCTCTGTGTTATTATCGTTATAGTTGTAGCGTGGACATCGCTATTCTCATAGAATTCTAACGATTATTAAAACTTTATATTTATAATTATCGTATTTGATATGGCCCTTAAATAACTATAACCATAATACTAACTATATTAGCGCACAAACCAACTCTGATAAAATGATATATTGTAATTGCGCACTGTAGTTTTGGCATCTGCCGCTGTAGGTGCTAAATATCTTTAAACTCAGATGGATTCTAATTGGCTGCCAATCAGTTGGAAAAAAATTTCTGAAAGTGATTTCAACAATTAACTGTGTCGATATCGTTATAGCTGTGGTGTGGATTTCACTATTCTCATAGAATGATTATTAATACTGTTAGACCTGTTCGCAACTACAACTTTATTAGTGCGCAAACCAATGCCTCTTTAAACATTCCAGTTCCTTAAAGTTGTGTGGATTCTGATCGTCAATGTTTTCATCATTCATCAGCTGCACAAATCGCTCTGAGAGTGATTCCAGCGACATTGTTCCTCAGTGTTATAGCTGTGGTGCCATTCTCATATCATTAGAATGATTATTAAAGCTTGTCCTCGGTGTGAACAGGCTTTAACTCCACAACACCCAGATCAGAGGAACTCTTCTAACTGTTCTAGTCTGTGATGAGAGTCATTCTGAGCGCTTCTGTGTTTGTCGTCAGGAGCGGATCCGGAGAACCCAAGGAGGAAGGCCGTGACTCGAAGCCCAGATCGCTGCGCTTCACCTGGAGCATGAAGACCACCTCGTCCATGGAGCCGGGAGACATGATGAGAGAAATCCGCAAGGTGCTGGATGCCAACAACTGCGACTACGAGCAGCGCGAGCGCTTCTTGCTCTTCTGCGTGCACGGCGACGCGCGGCAGGACAGTCTCGTCCAGTGGGAGATGGAGGTGTGCAAACTGCCCCGTCTGTCTCTCAACGGCGTGCGCTTCAAACGCATATCGGGGACGTCCATCGCCTTCAAGAACATCGCTTCCAAAATTGCCAATGAGCTCAAGCTGTAAGCAAAGGGTTCCAAAAAATACAAAACTATAGGGAACACTAAAAAAAGGAATCTGGCCAGGAAGTTTGAGCAGCATTGTGAGTTACTGCTTCTGTAAGCTACTGCTGTAATGTGTAGTGGAGAAAAAAATATGAATGCAAAAAGATGAAAAGAGAAAAAACGCCCTAGCTTGATCTTCGTGACCTCGTGATATACGCCTGGTTAAAACAACCATCTTGCAATAATATCGAAACCCTTTCAGGGTCGGCAGAACAGAGATCTGTCGAGCGAATTATCGTAACAGACTTAAACCGACTTTTTCCACATGTACAGTTAAGATCTAGAATGTTTTTGTTGTATTGAATTAATGATAGAGTTGTATAATACAAGACTTTCAGCCTACTTACGTGGAGGTGTTGTATAGTCACTATTGAGCTCTGTACAGAAAAAATTATGTTCAGTGTGTCATACTTGTTTAGTTGCTTTCTTTTCTTTTAGATTTTGACACCACTCAGTTTTAACAGTTCTTTTATAACTTATCAAGACTTGCTTTTAAAGGCACAGTTGATCCAACAATGGAAGTTCTATTATTTTCTCACCCTCATGTGCTCACAAAACCTGCATGTTGTTATTTTTCATGGAAGTAGAACATTTTGAAGAAATATGCAACTTTTTCTGTGGTGAACATGACGATTAAGCTCCAAAAATGAGAAAACACCATCATAATATGCCACGCAGTGCAACTTGTGCGCAATAGCCATATGTTGCACTTTGTGTAACCATTCTAAAAACGTAAGTTGTTAATCACTGGAAATGTGCAGTCTTTAATAAATAACAGCATGCATGGAACGGCATGAGAGCAGGTCAATAATGACAGAACTTTCCTTTTGGGTGAATTATCCTTTTAATTCAGAGTGAGGATTAGATGTGATCATAACATCAGAATTAATGAGTAAGTGTTGTTCCCAGATGCAGATGGTTTGGATGTACAGATCAGCTAAAAATGAGTAAACGAACGTCTACATTAACATTCCATACAGAGCATACAGTGAGACTAGCATCATGGAGCTGTAGTGCAGAAATCCTGCAGTGTGTTTGGAGCAGGAGTGGCTATAATTTATTTATTAGGCCATTTTATGCCTTCCTGTTCTGTTAACTGTAGAAATTAATCCAGAGAATCCATTTTTGTTGTTTTTTTTGTTTAGTAAAATGTAATTTGTTTTGTAATAAGTGGTGATGACGATGATGAAGATGATGGACTACGACCACTCGTATTGGTACTTTCTACTAGTTCTTTTGTACTGAAGTATCGAAGGTTAAATGTGCAATGCTGTCTATGTTGTATTACTGTAATGCTGATTAAAGAGGTTGTGACTGCACACTTTTAAGGGAAGACGAGCTCAAGTTTAAGTAGTTTGAGAAAAAGGATTAGTGACTAAAAATATTAAAGGGTAAAGCTGTGATTAAAGCTCAGAGAGGCATTGAATGTTCGAATGTCAATTGTGATGTTCCATTTTGTGAAGATACATTTCCAGGATTTCCTTTCCTGGTTTTAATTTATTTTCTTTTTCTTTTTTTCTTTTAATGGCTGTACGGATGAAACTGTTTGGATGGGAAGCAAGCTGAAGGCTGAGGATCTCCAAAAATGCAATTAAACTCCAATACATTTCATCCTTCCACACACTCTTCCCATTTATTCTCTGGACATAGTACTGTACATTTCTGCGGAGAGATCCCTTGGGCCGCTGTGGTTCAGTCCCACTGGAGCACATTAAAGCTTACTTGAAATGAGTCTTTGAACTGAAATGTTTTGTGTCCTTTTTCTGGAGTATATACTAGCATACCTCATTGCCATTATATCAAGTATTTATGAGAACCAACTGAAAACTTAACATTCTTTCTTTTTTACAGATGATCATATAAGCTTAGGATATAGTAAATACTGCTGACTGTTAAACGAGTCTGTAAACTCAAATGAAAATCCTATAATGTGTAGTTTTCAGTTCAAAGAAACACCTAGGTCATATTTCAGCCCCAAACTGAAAAAAATAAAATAAGCCTGTTTTAAGACTATTACAATTCTGTATTGTTGACATTTTCGTAAAAATTTGTTGTGTTGGCTTAATGAAAAGATTGTAATGGACCTAAAATAGGCTTCATTTTCTTAGGGTAAAATATAATCTGGACATTTCTTCATGAGATTCACCCTTTGTGAGATTCAATAAACAAGCTAGACTTCATTAAAACCAATGGTCTGCAGGTTACTGATTTTGTAGATGCCCGGACAGGCTGCACATTAAATACAAATAATGCAACTGATTAAGTTTGTTTAGAGTAGCAACTAAATGAAGTTAGTTTCCATTGATGATCAAAAGGAAATAAAGTTCAACATAGGAGATCAATCTTTAAAATATAGCAGTGGCAGCTACAATATAATTTATGCATGACAAATTAAAATGTTATTTGTCCTTGCCATCATCTTTTTGAGGCCTTGATTAACAAGCTTGGTGTGAAGATCATCTGAGCGGAATTTGGTTAATGTTGCATTAAATTTGCAGAAGGAATAGCACAAATGAATTTAAGGAAATGGTAGAAACCACTCGGTAGACCATTTCAGTCAAAGTTATTAGCTATGTCAAAATTCGGCCTGTTTGTGGCACTAGAAAATTTAAGAGAGAATCCAAAATTGCAACCAGGAATGTTGAGACCATCCCCAATCAATGTCCCAAATTTCACAACCTTTTACATGTGCCATACTCTTCCATGGCAGAAGAAAAATAAAGCTGTCAAGAATCGCATAGTCTCTGAGTAGGTACCTCTTTTTATTTCGCAACCATTAAAAAAAGTATGGTTTAAATAGTATGAATTTAAGCTGGATGTACTATATCTGTCATTTTGTCACTGAAATGTGACCTGCAGCATCAGCTGCATTGCTTCACTGACGTTCATAACTCGTTTCCTGTGGCCTCATGGGATAAAGTATTCAAAATCTTACCAGATGTAGCAGGACATTTTCACCTTGATGTATTTTCACCTTTCACCCGTTTTTTTTTTTTTTTTTGAATACTGCAAAGTCTGACATATTTTTACACACTGTTTTCATCCTCTATATAGTAGGAAAGTATGTATGTTCGGATGCAACCTAATTACATTTTTATGTTAAACTGTGGCTGCGTGCATGATTTTACACTACAGAAACTCGGAGTTTTGCCATATCAGCTGCTTCCATCTAAAGTCGTAGTCTGTCCAGGATGTCATCCAGGCGTTTGTTCTCGGCGCGATGCAGCATTTTCACTGTGACGTTTGCCTTCAGGCCTGTGCCAACCTCTGCAGGTGAGCTGACCACCCAACCCAAGTGAGGCTTCCAGATAAATGGATGTCTCAGTTTCTTATAAAGTGTCTCCATCTAAAAAAAAAACAAAAACGTTTAAGATTGTTGGTGTGGCCAGAATAGACCATAATATATATTTAGGGCATACCTCAGGGTTCAATATTAAGACCTTTTTACTTCTCAAAGAAAACATGATATCAACATGATATTGTATGAGGTAGTTGATTAAAATTAACCTTGAGCACACTGATGCAGATTGTTTTAAATGCCTCTTGTAAGCAGGCATCACTTCTGTAAGACACCAGTTTCAGATGGTCGTCCATGTTCACCCAAATAGCCAGGGTCCCATCCTTGCTTAACCTGATCATAGGTCAAAAACATACTGTACATTGCTCTGATGCAAGCATATACAACCATAAATTGTGAACTCTAACCAACCACAGGGCCCTTGCATCGGGCCAGTCACAAGCCACACCAATCTTTATCAAAGACAGTGGTGGAGAAACCATCACAACCGTGCGGTCTTCACTCTCATGGCTAAGTTCATCTATGGTGTAAAACTTTCCTGGCAGGTCCTCACCCAGCTGCTCTAAAACTACAAAACAAGTTATATTAACATGCAATATATCCATCTAATTAGACCCGTGATCAACTGCAGTACCTGTTTTGGCCAGTGTGAGGAGCTGTCTGCGCTCTCCTCTGCTGCAGTGTGTGGGGAAGCAGTAGTGTGCGGCCTGCAGTCACCTCACAACTCAAAGCATATGCTTGGTCAAAGTCATCACCACCCTACACACACATAAACACATTTTACACATCTATAGCATTCTACCACAGATTTAGCACTATTCTAGAGCTCTCATCATTATATTATAATGACCAATTTTACACTTAGAGGAAACTAAGAGAGTAAATGAAATGATGTCTCAGAGGTTTTTCCTAAAACTAAAATGTGACACTTACTGACAGTAATGGTGCTATAAATTTAATGAGCAGTTCATATCTGACTATTCATTGCATACTTGGCTAGGTTAAAATCTTGAGATGTGAAGTATCCTGATTTTTCTCAGGTGAAAATCAGGATACTTCACCAACATGTCCATTCTCCATTTTGAGATGCGGTGTTGTCATTAGGTATTCTTTTTTCTTACCTTCAGATTGTCATAATTGAAGTCGCTCTCTTGAACAGTGTCAGTGGTGACCTTGTAGCTGTGGTAAGACTCAATAATACGGTCAAAGAAGTCACAGAACAGGATATATGACTGAGCATCAGCCGCTAAACAGCCCACTGCTTTTGGTCCTGTAGACTGACCTGTCAGACAAGAACTAACTTGAAAAGACTGTCAGCCTTTCCCCCAACCCAAATACATATTAAATATACATATTATATTAGATATATATATATATATATATATATATATAAAACAATTTAAATACCGGACAATGACCATCTTTAGTACCTTCATAGAACCCCAGGGGTCCACAGATCAAACCAGGACCTGATATTCACTTGAACCTCATCTGACATGCTTCCTGTGTGTG